TACAGCATAGATGATCGAGAGAGGAATGAAAACCCATCAATCATTCAAGGTACATTAATAAGAACAATGACTTGGTGGGCCATGAAGGCGTACCCACGAGATGAAGATATTTCACTACCACCATGGTCGCTAGGGGATCATGCGAGGTCATGCCCAATGGTTGACTAAGTAAATAAGCCCAAATGTCCTAGATTATGGGGACACATTATACATGATTTTTCAAAGAAGTAGGACATGGACACGTTGATTAGAATAATATAAAATTAATACTTTTTGGTTTCTTTTTTATTTAATTATTTTATTTTATCGACACCATTAAACATAAGCCTTTACATCTTAAACATAATTTCCCTTTCCAAAATCTTCATGTCCTTTGAATATCTCTTAACCTTATTTCCTTCTCTCTCCCATCAACATAGTGACCTTTCCTCTTACTCCACTGTTGATTGGAGTTGTCTTGACAGATTTCGATGACACTAAGAGTAATATGTTGATACCACTGCAGTCAAATTCTAGCTATCAGAGTGTGAGAAACATCACCAAATTAACTTTTGTATTAGGGGAATAAAATTTTGTTTGTTCAGGATGAACAGACACAATTTCTGAAGTCAAGATACTTTTGAGTTGTGCTTTAATTCAATGACAATGAAATCATGCAACATGTTGTGTATTTTTTGTTGATTCATAGACTTGTCCTCTGAATTGTTTTAGATTCTATCTGTAAGTAGTATTTATGTGGATTCATTTTAATCTAAATGCATATCAAGAATATATAAGTCTAACCAATATCAAGAATTTGAGAGATAAAAAAGACACATGCAGTTCTTTTTTTCTTGAATGAATGGTAATACTAGGAAGTGATGCTTTTTGAGTATTATAAGGCACATCCAATTTGTATAGAATGCTCTATTTTGATGCTGGAGATATCATGTATGGTGGACCTATTTCAGAAGGTTCATGATCTCCCGGAGAATATTGTCTACTGGGAAATACAAATTCGTTAAGATTTTGTCTTGCTCTTGTTGTCACAATTCCCTATTGATGACCACTTCTAATTGGTTGAATTGGATGGCACAAATTGATATGGAAGGACATTATAAAATTGTCTAGTCTATTCTTTGATCCGATACTCATATCACTGCAACTGCAGATTCCTCTTGGTGTAGTTTTGGCTATCCCACCTTTTAACTATCTTGTCAATCTGGCGGTTTCAAAAATTGCCCCTGCTGTTATTGTTGGCAATGCTCTTGTCCTCAAGCCTTCAACCCAAGTATGGATTTAATGTCTTGATATCTCGTCTTTTCTTGCTATACTTTTTAACTTTTCGGTTTTCATTTTTACATATTCACATTATTGATTTCCCACTGAAGATATTCGTCTATTTGTCTTCCACTGTTCCACAATCAAGTAAAAATATTAAAATTTCTCTCATATATGTTTTCAGGGAGCTGTCGGTGCCCTCCATATGGTTCATTCATTCCACCTTGCTGGTTTTCCCAAAGGTTTTATCAACTGTGTAACAGGAAAGGGTTCTGAGATCGGTGACTTTCTTACAATGCATCCTGGAGTAGATTGTATCAGGTACTTTGCTGGTGCATCAAGGTCATTTGATTACATTGATTTTTGACATTTCATTCTTCTTGGTAGTAGGTATTTGGACGACAATTGTGACTCGTCCTACACTAATGCAATGCTAGATAACTTTTAACGTTGCCAGTCAAATTGTATTTTGCCTAGATAGTTTCCTTCTTTTATTAGCCCCGTCTTTCAACTAATAGTCCCTACTTCTCTAACTTAGCTTCACTGGTGGAGACACTGGAATTACTATCTCTAAGAAGGCTTGCATGATTCCTCTTCAAATGGAACTGAGTGGAAAGGATGCCTGCATTATTCTAGAAGATGCTGACTTGGATTTGGCCGCATCTAATATTGTAAAAGGAGGCTTCTCTTACAGGCGAGGAACTTGCAAAAATTTATTGTTTTGGTGCATGCATATGTACATGCTAGTATAAAATTGTTATTTCCTTCTCCTTATTGCTCTATGACCATTCACTGTTGTACTCTAAAATTCATAAACAAATATAGATGTACACTTGTCGATTTCCTTTTTTCTGTGCACATGACTTCACTTCATCATTTTTTTGGTGTCGAATCCAAGTTCCTCATAAAGAAGAAACTTCACTTTTTAAGTCGTTCTTTTTTTTTTTTTTTTGGCTCGGACAAGTATTATGATGTGTCCAAATATATCGCTGCAGACCTTCTATTTAATAACTATAACACAGTTGTACATAGAAACCTGTTTTTAGTGGGAATTGTTTTATATTTCGATATTGACATTTCGTTAGTTCAACATGACTTCATTTGCTTTGGACTTCCTTTGCCTGATTTTATGTGCTCATTTCTAGTGGTCAGAGATGCACAGCAGTTAAGGTTGTTTTAGTTATGGAATCCATTGCTGATACTCTTGTTAAGAAAGTCAATGACAAATTGGAAAAGTTAACTGTCGGGCCACCTGAGGATGATTGTGATATCCCTTCAGTAGTTACCGAGTCTCCTGCAAACTTCATTGAAGGCCTTGTAATGGATGCGAAGAAGAAAGGAACAACATTATGCCAGGATTATCCGTAGGGAGGGTAACCTCATATGGCCATTACTATTAGATAATGTTAGATCAGATATGAGGATACTGTTAGATCAGATATGAATTTCTGGTCATAGTAGATTTCAGTTCCTTTTGTTTTGCTTTCCTACGACCACCTCTTTTTATCAATTGATCTGGTGTCTTCATTACCATTAAGATAATATCTTGGGGAAATCCATGTAGACTAAAAAGGACACAGCACAATCCAATTAAGCAAAGCAAGAAGCAACAGAAAAAATAAAAAATATCTGCTACACAACTGCGTCAAGCAGACAACATTGATCCCAAGTCTGTACCAAGAATAAATGTGCTGATTCTGGAACAGAAACAATGATTGTCAAAAACACAGCCTTCTTGAACGCTTTTTGTGATATGTTGAAGGCAACCATATTGCGAATTCCCCTGACTTCGAAAAATCTTCCTCTATCTAAAGCTCTTGTTTTGATATTTGCAGCATTGTGGTTAAAACTCTTGAAGCCAGTTTATATAACATGCTATGTATTCTGTTATTTCTCTCTCATAAGTTAATTGACTGGTTGTGATCCCTCTTAGTGAATCTCCTTCGAAGTGGGAAACAAACCAAGCAACTTCCTGCCATTTATTAGTTTTGGCTCTACCGAGAAGTAGTTGATATTGCCTTTTGCTGTTGTACCGTGGTGGAATACTCGCAGAGAAAAAATTAGATGAGATAGAAATATTCCTCTTTGCAACACGGAGTAATTAAAACAGTCGAGTCACCAAATTTTCATCTTGTCAGCTGCACTCTATCGTCTACGAACAACAAACCAAAAAGTAAAAGAAAATATAGGCCCTCTTTTTGTAAACCATAGAAGCTTATTTGAAGCAGCCTTGCTTCTCTCTCTCTCTCTCTCTCTCACATTTCCACCATTAGCAGTACACACCTTTTTAGGAGAAAAATCCATTTAACACCATTAGTTTATCAGGCTTTGGAAATAATTAGGAACAGGTTGTATCAATTTCTTGATATCAACTCCTCCTCATTCCAATGGCCATTGCCATTTACCATTGCCTGGCAATAGTGTTCGATTCAGCAAGCAAAATAACTAGCTTTCTGTTGGACCTGGCAAGAGTTGCAACTCACTAGAGCTAAGTTTCGACAAGAGCTGGTAAGTAAAACATTCTCTGAAAATGGATTAGGATTGAAGAGCTTAAGAGTTAAGTGAATGGGGCTGTTTAGGAGGATACACTTGGGATTAAAGAGTGAACTTAGAGCTGTTCTAGCATCATTGTTTATCCAACGTTACAATTCCAAATGATTGTGGATGATGGCAGAGTAAGTTACAACAGCTCAGAGGCAAACGGAGACTTCGTATTGAGAAGAGTAGATGATGGAACTGATATATTTTCTTGACCAGATAATTAACAGTTATAGTGGGTAGATTTCTTAAGTTGGACTCCTGCTTAAGAAGTCTTTTCGCAGCCGGTGAATACTTTGCTGAAAATCGTTCAACTGGAATCCAATGAACTCATCTTCGTCAATAACAAGGGCACTCCAAGATATCTAACTGGTGAAGACCTAGCAAAATTGCCCCCTATTTGCACACGGTCTTCTGTTCTCCTCACTATCAACCCCTGCCATGCATCCTCTTTTGATAACCATACTTTTCATTCTTTTTAGTTATGAGTAATCTTTTCATGAGAACTACAATGTGTGGAGTCTTGTCCCACATGCAATAAAAGAGTAGCCAAACAGCATTAAATCCACTTAATATACTAATTTTCTCCACCAAAAAAAATTTATGTAGGATGAATTTACCCTTTATTAATGGATACCCCATTGAATATAATCATGTGCACATAGATCAAGAAACCATAAGCTGGAGTAGTTGGGGCTTAACCATTTGATTCTTTATCGCCCTATTATTTTTCAGGCCACGCATGCTAAGTTGTTCTAATATTCCTACTACATTAAATATTTTAGGAGGCCAGTTCTTTTATGTTAGTCAGATTTGTACTTGTCTTCATCTTCATTATATGGAAATCCTACAGCAGCTAGAGTAGACATAGCTCTCGTATTATGGGCGAACAACCACAATTGTAGGTCTACTCTGCTTGTTTTCGAATTTTATTTTTATATATTATTGCTCTTGTAAATGCAAAACATGGCTTAATCTGTAATACCATATGGTACCTTTTCCATTAAGCCCCTGTTTGACTATCATTATTTGAGGAAAACAAAGTTCTGAATATTGTTTTTTAAAGAGAATGTTGTGATTAAAAAGTAGGAAAAAATTTTGGGTTTATGTGCAAAATATTTTATTGCGTAAATTTGTGGTTGAAAATGAGTATGTAGAAAAAAGAGTTTGAAATAATGATTGTCAAACAGGGGCTAAGTATATCCAGATTGATTGCAGTTCATTTTTCTTTTTCTTTTTCTTTTTCTTTTTTGGTTAGATTTTCAATCTCTTGAGAGAAATCATTCTATAATGACTTCTACGTAATTTTGATTCGAAGCCAAATGTGACACAGTGTTCAGTCCTCACAAAAGATATTAATAAAGCAATTTTGATTAGTGATGCAATGGAGACAGGAACTATACAGATCAACTCAGCACCAGCTCATGGACCAGATCATTTTCCTTTCCAGGTGCACTCTTCCTCCATTTGTTAATATGATATATGTCTATATATGGCAAATCCCAATTTAATGTCTATTATGAAATTGCATAATTATGTAGTAACAGATAGTCTAACAAACTTATACTTACACATTGTGTTAACCATCTCATCTAAAAGTTTAAGCTATTAAAAGGGGTTGTATGTATTTATTTAAATGTTGTCTTTACTCTTTATCATGCTCCTTTACGCAAAAACCATACTTATTTTTTGATCAAACGTTTTATATATTAATGGCAGTGAGATTTAAACCCAAATATTTTTCCCAGGCTCTGGTATCATGTTAATCATCTCATTTAAATGTTTAAGCTATTAGAAAGAGATCACATGTATTCATTTAAATCTTGTCTTGAGTACATTTCATATATCATTTTGCTCAAAGATATGAACCTTGTACTGAGACAGGGTCTGGAGGATAGCGGAATCGAATCTCAAGGAATAACGCATAGCATTACTATGACGACAAAAATCAAAGCCACTGTGATAAACTAGCCAACTTCTTTATACACAATGCATTGATTTGGTAATTGATTAGTCCATTCTTACAAAATGTGAGTTTCTCTGTTTACTGTAATTTTAGGTTTTAGATATATTTCATGCTTCATTGTATTTAGGCATAGATATAAACGAAGTCTTAAGCTTTTGTTTCTTTTTGTTTGTCCTTAACTTTGTTTAGCTATCCTGTGTGTGCTATGAATTTCATTTTTTAAGCTTAAAATTCGATGATGGAGAGATTAGCCATAGAGATTTAGCCCTTGTTTGAGCCCCATTTTTGTCAATTTTTGAATAGTGTATTGATGAAAAATGTATGATTAAAAAATAAAAAAAAAGTTTTGAATTTGCGTGTAATAATATTTTATTGAAATACGTGTGATTGAAGTAGTGACAAATCATTGCTGAAAAATATATTTTGATAGAAAAAATAGGGCTCAAACAAGGACTTATTGTAGCCTACTTATTGAAAATATTCATGACAAATAGAAATTTAATCGCTCTATTTTTTGAATGGAAAAAGTATATTTTGTTTCAGTCTTGTCTCTAATATTACCAATTTGTTTCAGGTCATCATTGCCGTTAACATCTTTAATAGCTGATACTAACGGAAGACGGTTCTGTCAGCATGACAACGCCTTTACTGTTCAACTGCCACGGAAATTAGTTACAATAGAAAATTTTCAGCCATAGAAGAAAATCGTTGTTATATTTTTTTGCGAGGGGCAATTTATTCGTGACAAAATTGTCTGTTACATAAAAAAATTCATAGGGAATTAAGTTTAAAAACGGGGCGGGGCGGAATTCACATGATAAACTTTTGAGTTAGTCAAAGACAAAAGATTAGTGATGGCAAACGGGGTGAGGACGGGGCAACTTGTTGCCTCATTTGTTGCCCCGTTTAATTTTTTATTTTTTATTTTTTTTTGCATTTTGAAAGTTTCGAATTATTTTATTATTAGAAAATAAAATACAAATTCAAAATGGATTTTTAACGGGTGAATTATATAGATATAAATTTATTTTTTATTTTTATTTTTTTGCATTTGAAATGAAATTGAGATCCTGTATCCAAAACGATTTAAACGTTTCTGTGTTTTTTCAATTAATTTAGTGTTCGTTTCGCTTTATGTTCACTTGTATTCACCAAAAAATGAATGAATGTAAGTTTTTCTTAATTTGGAATGAAATTGATACTTCATGACCTGAAACGAGGTAATCTTGTTTTAAGTAGTTAGATGCCGTTTCAATTAATTTCGTGTCTGTTTCACTTTATGTGCACTTGTATCAAGATAAAAATTAATAATGTAGCTCTCACTATATTTGGACACTATGGTCTATATAAAGTTCATATGATAGTAACTAAAACCATTGTTCAATGAGTAAATTACATTATATTTCTCCACAGTCAAATGTAAGCAACTCAAATTTTGTTATATTCCAATTATGATGTAAGATGCTCAACAAATTATCTCGATTAACTTGAACAAATCTTTTAAGACTAATTTTGAAGTGAAATCGATACCATGAAACTCAAAACGATATGTTCCGTTTCAATTAACTTTGTATTCGTTTAACTTTATGTTCCCTTGTATCCACATGGAAATAAACGAATATAAGTTTTTGTTACATTTGAACACCACGGTCGATAAAAAGTTCATAGGTAGTAACCAATGCTATTGGTCTATGAGTAATTACACTAGGCTTCACTTTGAACGAATGTAAGTAACCCAAATTAGATTGTATTCATTAAACGAGCTCTTTTCACTTGTACAAGTCTTCGAAGATGTTCCAATGATCAACTAGTTTTAGTGTGAAATCGATATTTCGTGATCGAAACGACATATTGTCTTTTTAAACGCTTGGGTACTATTTCAACTAATTTCATGTCCATTTCACTTTGTTTGGGCTCGTATTTACATGAAAATGAACAAATACAAGTGTTCACTATATTTGGACACCACGATCAATATAAAATTCACGCAACAGTACTACTACTATTGTTTCATGAGTGAATTATGCTAAGATTTACAACAAATGTAGGTATATAACTCAAATTCCATTATATTTCAATTATACTCAACAAATTAAATTGTTTAACTTGGACAAGTCTTTTAAGATATTCCTGTAGGAAATTTAGTGGTGTTAGTAGATGAAATCGGATTAATACATACTGTATACGTAAGTTAGATATCGATTTTAAGCATACCATATATGCACCTTACCATATTTGTAAGCAGCTTAACGTATTTGCAGGCAGCTTACCGTATTTGCAGGCAGCTTACTGTATATGCATTTCACCATATTTGCAAATATTGTCATTACCCATTTAGATACAGTATTTTCATATACCGATTTTTTTACTTACAAATACCGAAATTGTAGAACACTGTATATGCATTTACCCAACCGAATGTCAGTAAAATTTTTCAAATTTTTATTTTTAGTATAAATAGAAATAAACTTTAAAATATATGAAGCACAAAAAGAATATAACTGCATATGAATCTGCAAGTTGAACAAGTAAGATAAAAATTCAGAAAATAAATAAATAAGAAATGAATTTTCAACCCAAAGCCTGTGCAGGCATGGTTTCCTTAAAACAGATTCCCTACCTCAGCGTAAGTGCTTAAGATTTAATCCGAGTGTCTATTTTCCAGAATACAACTATAAACCAGTAAAATCTGAGCATTGCAGAAACTACTTTGGGGAACTGAGTTAATATTCGAACAATATTACCACCAAGACGAATGCAGACAGAACAATAATATGCAGTATATTTTCATGTATACAAATTGTAGTTTTCGTGTATGCAGACTGTATTTTCGTGTGTTTTCTGGTGTATATGAGAATTGCTGGAAAATGAGTCTTAATATAAGATAAATCTGCTATTAACTCTAAGGCAATAAACATTGGAGTCATTTCAGTTTCTGCTGGAGTTTTAGCAATTTCAGAAACTTAAAAGTCAGTTGGAGAAAGCCAAAAAAAAATTGCAAAATGTTGACACTCTAAACGGGCCAATTTTTGTTCCGTTCGGTTTGACATTCGTGTACGTAGGTCACGCTCGCACACAAGTTCAAGGTTCGGAGACTATTTTGATATGTGATTTGTATCCCCTGCTCGCGCACGTAGATAGAGCCTCTGTGCTATATATGAGTACACCCTTCCGAAGTGCAGTCATATATAAAGTGGTTCATGCTTTCTTCTTTTTTCTATGTAGGACAAATCTAATATTTTCACATAAACCATCTTTCAATGGTTAACTTTGATTTCTAAGTTCTCATTCATCCATTTATCAATTTTGACATGTAAATATATGATTTTGATGCTCTCAGTGAGGAGAACACGAATCAACTTTGATTTTTCAAATTGGACTAACGGGTCCCACCAAAAATTGTGACAAAAATGAGCCATTTACTCATTTCTTTCAACAATTCCCCACATGAATAAAAAATTGAGAGAGACACAAGACCTTGAGATACAAGACTTGGTGATAAACTTTATCGATTGAAGCCTGCATAGGATAGGCAGGTATTACCCTCTGAACATTCCTTTGTGAAAGTATATTTACTTTACTAGCTGACCAGTATACATGTTGTCTTTGAACTTTTCTGCCGTTTATGTAAACGATGATATACTCCACACATGATTTTTCCTAACACAATTCAGTTTTCATTATTATATTCGTTTTGTCCATGAACATATGTCTAATTCTGTGAGAGTTCTTAAGAATTGAGCCCCACACAATTCTCTTAGAAGCGGATTTACTTCTCTCTCGTATAGTTGATTTCTTATTACAAGTAATCCGCATTACTTGGCTCGATTCTTGACGTATAAGAATCATTAAAAGCCTATTGCTTATCCTTCATCCTTACGGGTATCACTGTTACATCATAGGAATGGACATGAGGTAGCACCCACATAGTGATTTTATCTTTACAAGTAGGTTGTCCTTTTGTACCTAGATCTTGGGATCTACAGCCAACAATGTTGGGTTTCCTTTATAATGACTTATCCATTCAAGGGCTTGAGTCTCATTACTTTCGATGATTTTTCAACTAACTCTCTATTTAATCTTTTGGTTAGCGGATCCGCAATGTTATCTTTTGACCTTACATAGTCAATAGTGATAACTCCAGTTGAGAGTAGTTATCTTATGGTATTGTGTCTACGACGTATATGTCTAGACTTATCATTGTACTTGTTACTCTGTGCCCTTCCTATTGTTGATTGACCGTCACAATATATGCAAATTGCTTGCATAGTTTTTGACCATCTTGAAAATATCTTCTATGAAGTTGCGCAATCATTCGATCTTTTCACCGCATTTATCTATAGCTATAAACTCAGATTTCATTGTAGATTTGGCCATAACAGTTTGCTTAGAGGATTTCCACGATATGGCAGCACTTCCCAATGTGAACACAAATCTACTAGTAGACTTTGAGTCTTTTATTTTAGATATCCAATTAGTATCACTGTATCCTTCAATGATCGCTGGATATCTGGTATAATGTAGTCCATAGTCACAAGTATATCTTAAATACCTTAGTACTCTTACTATTCCTTTCCAGTGATAGTCTCCTGGATTACTCATGTATCTACTCATTTTACTGATTGTGTGGGCTATGTTTGGTCTTGTACAGCTCATCAAGTATATTAGACTTCCAATAACTCTCCAGTATTCTACTTGGGAGACACTTTCACTTTTGTTTTTAGATAGATGTTGACTTATATCTATCGGTGTTCTAGCCAAGCCAGTATCATCTTTATTGAATTTTTCTAATTTTTTTTTACATAATGTGACTGACTTAAAACAAACCCATCTGATTTTCTTGAGATTTTGATTCAAAGTATAACATCAGCTAAACTCATATCTTTCATATCAAATCTCGAATTAAACATATTTTTAGTGGATTCAATCATCTTATTGTCACTATTGATAATAAGCATGTCGTCAACGTAAAGACATAAAATGACATAACTATCTTTAGTATCTTTGACATAAACACATTTATCACACTCATTGATTTTAAATCCGCTATCTATCATGACATTATCAAAATTTTCATGCTATTGTTTGGGTGTTTGTTTCAAGCCATATAATAACTTCATCAATTTAAAAACTTTCTTTTCCTACCCTGGTGACGAAAACCCCTCAGGTTGTTTCATATAGACTTCTTCTTCTAAATCTTCATTTAAAAAGACATTTTTAACATTTATTTGATGTACTTCAAGATTTTGCAAAGCGATAATCGCAAGTATAACCCTAATAGATGTTATTTTTGTCACTGGAAAATACGTATCAAAGTAATCAAAGCCTTCCCTTTGTTTGTAACATTTTATTACTAATCCAGCCTTGTGCTTTTCAATAGTTCCATCTGCTCTCATTTTCCTTTTGAAAAGCCATTCATAGCCTAGTGATTTGCTTCCTGGAGGAAGATCTACAAGCTCCCATATATGATTTTGTAGTATGGAATCTATTTCACTTTTAATGGCATCCTTTCATTGAGGTACTTTCGAGGAATTTACAGCCACTTAATAACTTTGAGTTCATTTCTAGCATATAGGTCAGAAAATCAGGACCATACGATTTTTTTGTCCTTTCCCATTTGCTAGTCTAACCTCAATCTCCTCTCTAGTTCTTCGTTATGATTATTTTTAGTCATAGTCTCATATGTTCGTTTGGAAGAGATTGCTCCCTCTATGGACTTGTATGGAAACACACGTTCAAAGAATGAAGTATTTCTTGGTTCCAATATCATATTT